TCCACGTTAGAGCACACCTGCAATGGCACACTATCTAGTGATTAGACACTAAAGAGCGCTAGGGAAGGAAAAGTGCTTATCTTTGATATGGCTGCAGAAGAGTAAAATTAATTTAGTAACTTGCGTAAATGGGTGCCACTTCAACTAATTACCAAGCCTCATATTGGAGGATTCCTTTACTAAGAACTCAACATTTAGGCAGCACCTGTGGCTTAAAGGAATAGGGCGCCGACCCCATAAGCTGGAGATGGTGGGTTCAAACCCAGCCCCAGCCAAAAACTGCAAAAAAAAAAGAACTTAACATTTAGAGCACATAGAACTCTAAACCTTTAGTCCTTGCTATTCCTCAAGTCTGGCATAGACTCCCACCTTGCTCAAGAAGCAAGGGTTACTACAGAGAGCATAAAAGCAGTGAGGCTATAGCCTAAAAACTTACATCCCAGTTCCTGAATGTGTAAGGGCTATCTTACAGGGCCTAATTTAAATCTCCTAAATAGCCACTTAAACAGAAATCCATTTTCCAGAAAGCTACTGCTTATTCATAAAAAACCCATCTCTTATCCCTGGAGACATTCACACCCAGCCTCCCTGATAGGAGTTACTTAAAAAGGTAAAGTGGAACCAAAACCAACCAGAACAAGCTATCCACTAGATGTGTTCAAAATCTGTGTGGGGGACCTATATGTGTGGCATTCCTTACAATGTTAAAAGGGCAAGAACCATGAACTATGTTCTAGCGTACATAGCTCCATTGTGGAGCCTTAGAAAGTATCCCACCAAATCAAGAATGCTTCTATTTAGCATTTGTCAAGCAGGCATTTGCAAGCTGAGCTAAAAGATCCCTGTTAGATACTTTTATTTTCTTCAGTTCACAAATGAGAAATTTGGTCTCCTAATAAATGGCAGACAGATGAGGGTGCCGAACTACAACTTAGCCTGACCCATTGCTACATTAACCCCACTCCCAGAGGTTATCTGAGCAGATCTTCACTTCCGGTCTATAGGGAAAGTTTTATGCTCCACAGATTACCACAGACAGGAAGGCACAGACAAGGAAAGCCACGGGCTGCTTTCCCAATCATTTAACACCTGAGTTTTGCCTAGAGGAAAGGCAACTTTTTCCCTCCAAAATGTCCCAGTAACTAAGCACATGTTTGTTTGTTTTCTTTGAGACAGAGTCTCAAGCTGTCACCCTTGGTAGAGTGTTGTGCTGTTACAGCTCACAGCAACCTCAAACTCTTGGGCTTAAGCAATTTTCTTGCCTCAGCCTCCCAAGTAGCTAGGACTACAAGCACCTGCCACAACACCCAGCTGTTTTTTGGTTGCAGTTGTCATTGTTCTTTAGCAGGCCTGGGCCAGAATTGAACCTGCCAGCCTCGGTGTATGTGGCTAGTGCACTACTCACTGAGCTTTGGGCGCCGAGCCATAAGCACTTGTTTTAAGACCAAAGACGTTTCCCATAGGGCCACTTGGTGTCACAGAGGGAAGGACATGGATTTTAAAACTGGAATCCCATCAGTGGTGTTACCTACCTGGCAGGCCACGGGCATGCTCACACAGTCCCAAGTCCTCAAATGCCATGTCTATACCCCTCTAAGTCAGTCCTGGCCAAAGACCCTTCAGGGTAAGGCCTTTGCTGATCAGAATCAGAATCCTTAGACCACTTCTCAGACTGGTTAAAAAATAACCGCAACTTCCCTTACTTAGTTCCTCCCCAAAGAGCTGTTGAACCTCATCTGGAAACAGCTGGGAGGCTGTAGTTAACAGGAAACCAAACCAAAAAAGAGCACAGAGTGTACCAGGAGAGTTAGGCAGCTAGAACGAAGAGGCCAGGGGACAGGCAGGAAGTTGAAATTAGAAAGAACCTAAGCCAGAAACAATCACACAGTAAAAGGACCCAGCTGCCTTCCTCTCAGCCCAAGCAGGAAGAACCCTGAACAACCAGTAGGAAGGCACAACCCCACAGAATGGAAGTCAGACCATCCCTGAAATCTCTTCTTTCCTCCTTGCCCCCCAAATCTCAATCTTATCTGAAAGCCAGGTAGTGCTCCCAACTGGGAGAGCTGGAGTCAGAAACTCACTTTTTCTAGCTTCTTTCTGTGTGAGTGGCTACAGCCCAGACAACTGGTTTTGAGTATTCCTTTGCTAATCTATACCAAAGTTCCATACTCCCAACTAAACTCAGGGGCTGGTCAAACCAGCCTCAAACAAAGGGCATCTTCATCAGCAACTGTAAGGCAGAACCCATCTGGGGACCTGCAGTAGTAGACCTTAGGTGGCAACAGACCTTAGGCACAGGGAACAGCAGCAAAAGCAAGAGAGCCAGAGCTGGCACAGTGGTGTACGCCTACAGTCCTAGCTACTCAAGAGGCCCAAGTAGTTTGAAGCCAGCCTGAGCAACACAGCAAGACCCTATTTCCAAAAAATAAAATTAAAAACATAAAAAAAATAAATTTAAGAAGAAAAAACAGGGTCAAGTGTGGTGCCTCACGCTTGTAATCCCAGCACTCTGGGAGGCTTAGGTGGGTGAATTGCCTGACCTCATAAGTTCCAGATCAACCTGAGCAAATACGAGCCATGTCTCTAAAAAATAGTTAGGCATTGGGGCAGGCACCTATAGTCCCAGCTACTCAGGAGGCTGAGACAAGAGAATCACTTAAGCCCCAAAATTTGGGGTTACTATGAGCTACCGAGGGTGACAAAGTGAGACTGTCTCAAAAAAAAGAAAGAAAAAAGAAAAAGAGAAGAAAAGAAAGAAAAAGTATCAAGAGAGACAACATGGCTAGAAGCCCTGAAAAGCAAAGTAAGCTTCTTGCACCAAACTAATAGAACATTTTGCAATCAAGAAAGTTAACTGAGCAGTGGCCAGTTGCCAAAATATTTTTGAAAAAAAATGAAAAAAAAAATCATTACTAAAATTCTTTGGTATTATTTTAAAAGCCTTTAGGTTATTCAAACAGAGTGCAAAGGGGAAACTGGTTTATTTTTCCTTTAATAAAGCTTACTTAGGTGAGACCTTTCTAGCCCATGCTTCCTGTAACTCAAGCATCCATTCTCTCCCTGTATGTACAGAAGTTTATGTTAAAATAAAGAAAACGATCTCTTCACAGCCTTTTGACTAAGACCATCTGCAGCAAAATAAAGAAAAGGGCCAGGCAAGAGCTCACACCTATAATCCTAGCACTCTGGGAAGCTGGATCACTTGAGGCCAGGAGTTCAAAACCAGCCTGCACATAAGCAAGACCCTGTCTCTATTAAAAATAGAAAAAATTACATGGATGTGGTGGCAGGTGCCTGTAGTCCCAGCTACTCAGGACGCTAAAGCAAAAAGATCACTTGAGCCCAGGGGTTTGAGGTTGCTGTGAGCTATTATGACGCCACTGCACACTAGTCAGAGTGACAGAGCAAGACTTGGGTCTCAAAAAATAAAGCAATAATAAAAAGGAAGATTAAGTTCTCTTAATAAAATACATTCCTGCCTTTCGCCTCTAGCTTTGTTTGAAAAGGCTGTCTCAAAGCATAGCATATGCTGCAATCTACTTAGGTTTGATTCCAACGGAAGTGTTCAAAATTTAAAACTATAGGATACAAAGGGCTGCAACCTCAATACCATTTGTTTTTTTACAAAACAGAACATCTTTACGGGCTCAGTGCCAGCTCAAACTGGCAAGACCAGAGGACCAGAGCAGAGACTGACCAGTGTGTCTAGTAAGGGGAATGGGAAGAAAGAGCTATAGGAACAAATCATCAGGGAAACTTACAAGAGAGGAAATGGGGGTGGGAGTATGTTTCAGGAACATAACAAAGGAACAAATTGACTAATCATTTATTCCAACCCGGGAAAAAGCCACCCAGAGCCAAGTACCTACAGGTAAATGCATCCAGGGCTCAAAGCTCTTTAAACAAAAGGGAGAGGGGGGAGGAATATTCCTAGTCTTCTTTACAGTGTTTCAGCAGTCTCCTAGGAAACTTTTCCTTTGCTGCCTGCAGCACAGACTAGGACAGCCCAGGCCAGTCCAGTTACTAATGCAATATGCCCAACTCAGCAGAGATCCTATCATGTGTCGGGTGAGCATTCAAGACACCGCAGCATGTCCATAGAAGCTCTGCTGCTGAGGTAGAAAAGTTACCTGAAACAAATACCTAAACATACACACTGGCGAAGGGAGAGAGAGAAGAAAGATGTTTTAACCCTTCCAGGTCCAAGAGTTTCTGTGACTAGGGAAAAAGGGATCTCTGCCCAAAACCAAATCCACAGGTCAGGATAGTGGTGTCCAGAATGTCTGCCCTAAACGCTGACATCTCCCTCATATAATGTCCCAGGGCTGGCCAGAAAGCCCTCCAATTTGCCAGGAGGACAGATTGCACCTCCAACATCAGTGGTTCCAAGCAGGCACCCAGGGCTCTCCCAAGATGAGGATCTCCCAGTAAACGGGTTGTCCGAGGATCTTCAGGTGCAGGGACAGTAACATTTATGGCGCACTTAACTCTTGCCAGATGCTGGAACAAGCAATTTGCCCATCCCCACTACAGCCCCACGGAGGCAGACTACTATCTTTCCCTTTCTATAAAGAAGGAAACAGTCTCCGAGGTGTTACACAACCATTAAACTGTGGAGCGGGAGCTGCAGCCACCCTGAACAGGTGGTCTTAACTGCTGCTGGCTATTGCTGGAAACACACAAAGCGTTTGGGAGAAAGGGGTCGATAGTCAGTGATACAAGATGCACTCAAGTTTATACCCTTTCTGGTCCAAAACCGATGGCCCCAGGACATTGGAGGGGGGAGGGCCTGGATGGGGAACGTGAAGCCGAAAGAACCCAAGAACCCAAGAACCGCTGGCAGAGTAGACGCCAAGACCCCAGACCCATAAACCCTCCCGAAGGGGTAAGACCCAAAGGGAATGCGTAAAACCAGGGCGGTCCTGGCCTCTCCACTTGTTTGCTCAAAGGGGGTAGGCGTGGGGCCCGACCAAGGCCTCCGGAGGTCGCCAGGTCCCTACCTGTAGGCCAAAGTCATGCACTCGAAGAGCTTGGTAAGCGAGGCGTCGATGGACAGGTGGCAGGAGCTGGTCTTGCCGAAGCTGTAGGTCTGGCACGTCTGCTTGTTGACTGTGTCGAAATCATAACCCTTCTTGGGCGGGTGCTCGCGGTGAGGCGACGACACCATGAAGTGGCCGCTGTGGATGATCTGCTGCCGGCGCGGAGGCTCCTCGCGGCCCGGCCCGGCCCGGGGCGGATGCTGGGCGGCGCTCGCGTGGGCCCGGGCCGCGGCGGTCGCGCCGGAGGCGGGCGGCGGGGACGGCTCATCAGTGTCCGAGTCGTCGTCGTCCTCGGGCACCTGGGGCTTGAGCAGCACCGGGCGGCCCCGATTGCCGGGCCGGCGTGGAGAGCACATGAAGACGTCCGCGGCCATGAGGGGAGCCCGGCCCGGGGCATCCCCCGGACCCAGGCACTACGCGTGAGAGGAACGCTGACTGCGCCGGCCCTAGCCGCGCGCCGACCCTCCGCGGGCGCGCAGCGCGGAGGGAGGGGGAGGGTGCGGGCCGACTGGGCCGCCTCGGCGCCGGCCCCGGCCCCGGCGTGACGTCACCGCAGCGTTTCGGCCAATCTGCTACCCGCGTCTGCCTCTTAAAGGAGCAGGGGGAGCCCTGCTCTATCTAAGAGGACAAAAAAAGGGAACCGAAGGCCACGCCTCCCTACCCCGCCCCTCGCCACCTCCGCCCCTCCGGGCTGCCAAGTAGCCCTGCGGCCTTGCTGCAGGCCGGGCGATGCTCCACGTGGTGGCGGGTGGGGCTGGGGCGCCTTATCCTCCCAGGCCCTGCAGGGCCCGGAACTGGCTGGGTCTTAACAGTTCGTTCTTGGTTTTGCTGGCCCTATGGCCGCTGTCCTGTTTCATTGATGAGAATACCATGTCGTTGAATACCGAAAGGGTTTTTCTAACGCGAAAACAAGATCAAGAACGCTTCTCCTGTAGAACTCAGGGCTGCAGTGGTGGAAACTGGCCCTGCCAAGTGAAGGCACTATTTCCCAGCGCGTGGCAGCTGTTAAGTGGCTGAGCCCCTGCCAGCCCATTCTAGATCCCAGCTCCTTTAAGTACAACTCAAAACACCAGGGTTTTGGTTTTGTTTGTTTGTGTTTTTGAAGTTTGGTGGGCTAACCAGCCCCAAAGCAACTCCAAAGGGGAAATTCTGAGCCAGAGTTTTCTTCTCTGTCCAGTGGGGGAAAATTCCTATGCCTCAAAAAATTCCTATGCCACAAAAATTGTGACAGTTTCAAAATGCCTACAATGTGTTTAGCAGGGTGACTGGCAACAGAATGAGCGCTACATAAATGTATTATTTAGCTATTGAGGTTGAAGGAATTGAATCAACCAGTCCTGAGCTTCCTAGAAATTGCTACTTTTTGACATACAGAAACAGCAACTTCATGTGGCTCAGTCTAACTTCTAGACCAGTATTTTTCAACTTTATTTGTTTAATCTCAGGGCACTCTTGAATAAGTAGTTAAACTTCCATAGCACACTTACATTATGTTGATTGAATATATATTATATATATATATATACTTACTGTGCTTTGAACTTCTTTCGAAAATAATTTGATGATCTTTAAAAATTGTTCTGACACACCTAAGATCTTCTCTGCACACCAGTTGAAAATCACTGTTCCGGCTCAGCACCTGTGGCTCAAGCCGCTAAGGCGCCAGCCACATACA